TGCCCCCCGATAAGGGCGAGCCACGGTAAATATAAACAAATAAATAGATATATATATATATAGATGATATATGATGTGTATGTATATTTATCTATATGTTTTTGTTTATAATTGTCGAGAGCCCAGGACAGACGCAATAAACCCCAAGCTAGCTAAGCTCAGCTCAGCAGGAGATTTTCGATGCTCTCCTTGGCTATTGTCGTGTCTTCGGCAGAAGAAGATGGGTGCAAGGTTTTGAGCCAAGAAAGGCTAGCACCCGTTGACGAAGCTATATAGGGGCTTTGATTCTCGGAATAGGGTTTTGGGGTCTATTATGCCATAATTTTAAGAGACAGCCTCAAAATAGTCTGGTAATTGTTTAGGCCGCCGGCGAGTTGCAGGGGCTGTTGTGATGCCACTACAAACTCAGTGAGCCTTACACCTTGTCACAAGAATATGAAAGGCAAGGCGGCTAGTGATGGAGACGGCTTTTTCTTGCGAGTTGGTATCTCGGAGGATCATAGGACTTCGGGTTGCCATTATCTTTGGGGTTCCGAAGATTCCGATTGTTCCCACGTTTCTCGATTCCTGGATGCCAAGCTTTGTAGACCTAACCCTAAAACAAAACTACATGGTTTCGGTTTCAGGCTTTGGGGTTTGCGGGCGAAAAATGGTTACGTGTTGGGGGCCGAGGTGTACCTGATGCTCTCCAGCAGAACATCGGACGTGCCTTGACACCTACAACGATGCTGGCATTATTGGCGATAATACAAGTTGGTACAGAGGCAGGAGGTAGGTAATAGGTAGTAGGTAGTTCTAGCAGCAGTAGCAGTAGCACTAGCACTAGCACTAGCACTAGCAGTAGTAGCAGCAGCAGCAGCAGCAGTAGTAGGCGTCGTCGTAGTAATAGTATTAGTCGTAGTACTGTAGTAGCAGTAGTTGTAGTAGTAGGAGGAGGAGGAGTAGGTGCAGGAGCAGGAGTAGGAGTAGATGATGTAGTGGTAGTAGTACGAGCAGGAGGAGCAGCAGCAGGAAGATGAAGATAGTCAGACACCTTGTTTGATCCGCGTAGCATGTCCTTCTCTCAGAAGATCAAGGCAAAGTCCGATCGAAGCTCGGCCTCAATACCTTCACGACTATGTACCACTGTATCATCCTCACACGACGAAGATTGACAGCACCTGTGCAAAAAGACGGTGCAATCATGGACGCACAGCAGGGTGTCGGATGTCAAGCTGCCTTTCCATGAACATTCAGTACAGGGTGAGGAGGATGGAGGAGCAGGAGGAGGAAGGGGACGTAAGCTCTGACATCGCTCGGGCGGAGGCGACCACACGGCATACTTACGATCGAGCTCTGCGGAAGCCCTGCGATGCGATGCCAGGCGAGGGTCTTTATTAGCAATGTGTACTATGTATACAGAGGATAAATCAAGAAACGCGGCAAGCCAGCGCGTCAGACCCCCGAGCCCCCAGGACGGCCCAAGATTTTCTGTCGTCCCGGATCCAGAGTGCTCCTTGGCCGCATGGGCTCGTGTGCGTCGTTGGCTAATATTGATCTTGGGTCTGCCGAAGTCTGCGGTCCAGGGTTGGGCGTCAAGGCCTACTAAAATTTTCGGGCTCTCGGTTAACGGTTTCGGGTTGTTCCAAGAGGTCTTCGGTTCAGAGCTGCTTTGCGAGTCAACCTATTCTCGGGGTCGGTCAAGACGACACGCAACACAGCAGGGGGGACGAACCCTGCGCCAGCTCTGGGGTATCTGGGAGGCGGTCCGGACACGTCTGGCAGGCAAGCAAGCGAAATCAAGCAAGCGAGAGAGGGAGAGACAGGGAACTATATGTTTCCCACCAAACATTAAAAAGAGAAAGAAAAGGCTTGCTTTGTGAACAATTCTGGCCATGAAACCCCGAGGAAGCCTTCTGCCAGCGGGCCGCCTGGGCTGTGTCCGATCTCCAGAGGCAACTGGATGCCGCGCAGGCAGCCCTGCCTTGGATCCGAAAAGACAAAGACCATGCGGTTTTTGCTTTTTCACGTGTAGACGATGTTGTGTGTTGTGTTAATATAGGTTATGCATCCTCTGGATCACTTGTAGCTGCGACTTTTTCGGCGTGTTGTTCATGATCCTGCTTCGAGCCGCTTCTCTTGACGTCAGCCGGGGTTTCTGGGTTTGAGGTTGGTGTAGTCAACCTGGTACTTGTGTTGAAGCCCTTGGGCAAGCGGACTTTGCAGCTCGGGTCAGGCGGATGGTGCCTCTTATCAGAATGCCTGGAACGGTGCCTGCCCTGACGTGATTCGTTCTTCAGAAGCCCACTGCTTCTATGTGCCTTGGCCAGTCCGAGCGTGGCTTCCGTCATCAGTCAGTTTGGAATGACCAATCAAAAGATCCATGCTTGCCAGCTTCATGTCGCCCCCTCTCACCACAACATCTAAGCCTAAGACCTTATTAGCCACTGAGCATGTCAAGAGTCTAGAGCTTTAGGAGAGGTGTTCGTTCCTTTGTCCTGTCTTGCCACTCTTTCGGTCTCCGTGCTCCCGACCTCGCGGTGCAGTCAAGGTGATGGGACTACAGTAGCTGCAGCCAGCATCGGGGTGCACTCGTGCCACGAGTAGTAGATCTGTGTCTTGCTTACGTGCCTCGTTTATCTGACGCATCCATTTAAGCTTCCTTGTAAAAAGCATGCCTCTAGAATTGGTAAGGCCGCAGGAGCGTCATATAAAGTTAGCTGCCAGAGTTGACTTGCTGTTCTGGGATCTCGCAAAATCGGTCATACTTCAGGTGAAAACTTGATCAGTGACTAGATCCCTTAGATGGCTTTAGGCGCGCTGAAGCGTTCAGTCCTGGTGCCCCGTACCAGAATGCAGTGCTCGACCGGTCTAGCATGCGCCTGTGTCGTATGCTGGTATGGTATGGCCATAGGTTTCGAGGCACCCTAATGGATTTAGTTGTGCTTTCGGTCATGCCTTGTATCACTGGTTGGTTTTGGACGATCGCACCGGTGCGGCTGGGCGATCGCTCAAGATCCACCCCTACCCAAGTATTCAGCACCGCCTCTTTTTCGCAGCCTTCGTCGCAGTCCTAAGGTACACCTACAACTTTACAACTACACGCCGTGTTCATGTGGCAAGTCTTTGCTGTAGTGAAACGCACGACGAATGCTTCTCTTCTCTTTACATTCTTGCCGACTTACTGCCGTCTCATCACAACTTCCCACAACCCGAACTTAATCCTGGAACATGTTCTACACAACTGCTAAGCGAAACTAGGTCCAACGTCTTCATCGCAGCCTCACCCCTGTACAGAAACTGCATTCTTTGCTAAGGCCAGAACGAAAAGGGTCCAAACCTCCTTTTCGCTCAGGTTCTCGTGCGGAGCTTCTGGGCTGCCATCGACTACCTGCGGGCGCGCGTGGCGCCAGGGATTGCGGCTGCGTCCCGGATGGGAGTTATGGGGTATAAGGGTCTGAAAGATATTGATGAGGTGTCGTATCAATTCAATGTTGGCAGCTGTTCATCTGCTGGCTTAGCCACCCATACCGCATCGTTTCTGGACAATCTTGGCATTGTTGTAACCCGCCTGCCCTCGCTCCTGTTGCGTGACCTCAAAGGGACAGCCAGGGGGGACGGGTTCACGAATGTGCTTCCAGGTTCTGGAGAACTGCTGCCATCTCTTCAGTTTGTTGCGTGGCTGCACGGGGCTTCCTGTTCAAGGCAGCCTTCGTAGTATTGTTTAGGAGATCAGAGGCAGTTGTCCAAGCCAAGCTTCGCTGAGTCGGACCGAGCAAGTAGAGAAGGCAAGAGAAGTCAGCTGAGGTGGTGGATGCAGGAGGGCGTCGGCGACTTCCTGCAAAGCGGCTACCTCACTGCGCAGCAGGCGCAGCGGGAACTCAAGCTCGTGAAACCGACGAGTCTTCAGTTTGGGCTGCGGCTGTGCAGCATGACGGGATATCATGCGGGGGGTATCGCCAGAGAAGGCATGAGTCGTGGACTGAACCAAGAAGGAGTCCCCATGATGCCCTTGCCATCTGAGTCCGGGGCAAATGCTACATGCCGCACCACGCGACATGCATCGAAGCAACTCCCAGCCCGAACTCTGCAGCTTTCTCCGAACATCTCTTTAACCCCAAAACCACGGGAGTCCCAGAGCCCCATGAAGCCCCAAAGTCCTTCAAGAAGTCCCTCAACCTCACAGCCAAGCCGCTTCTTTGTGTTTGGAGGCCGGGCTTCTTCGCTCGGCGGTGCGGCGGCTGCTGCCGGCCAGAGCTTCAGTTACCGGCCCTGGGGCCTGGAGTTTTGGGATTTAGGGTTCAGGGCTTCTGGGGTTTAGGGATAAGGGTTTAAAAGGAATTTCCAAGCCTAACCGCTCATGCGCAGAATCATGTCTCGTTATTTCGGGTCACTGCAATGTACGGACCTCCACCCATCCTTGCAGCCCCGTCTGTCTCACGAGTCTGAGAAAAGCCTACTGTAAACCTCGAACCCCACACCTCCATTCCCGGAATTCCCACACTCCTAAGAACCCCATGAGCAGCAAGCCCTAGATCCAAATCCCAAACAAGCCGAGAGCCCAATACCCCTCAACCCTAAACCCATGCACCCCAAGACTTCGGACCCCGAAAGCTCAGACCTCTTCAGGTGCTCCGTGTTGACGCGATACCTTTGGTCGATGCTTGGGGCCACTCCGATCACTCCCTGCCCCTTGGGCAGAGGCTTAGGGTTTGCCAGGAGGTTCTCGGGTCTTAGGGCCGCAGTTTGCGGGTCTCGATTACGTTGGTGAGTTGCGGGTAGCTGTGAGCAGCCAAAACGCGAGATCCTCAGCTCTAAAGCCTCATGTGCTTCGGTGTGGCAGTGAGGAACTCGGCACTCGGCCGGCGCGACGGCCGCGTGCCTCCCGGCACGAGCAAGGCTTGTGCAAGCTCAGGTACTGAAGCCTCAAATCCAGAGCCACAAGCCAAGGGCCAAGTAACCCCGGGCACTGCCTAGGATCGGGCAGGGAGTGCCGGGCTTGTGGTTCCGTGCACCAGGCACTGGTCCGCCGGGAAAAGTAGCGCCAGCCAGTTTCTGCGCTAACAGAAGTTAACTGCAGTTTGCGGGTCACACACAACTCTCTGGTTCTCGTGATTTACGTGACGGAACACATGCCTGCGTGTCGGACTAGAGAGGTAGAGACAGCTTGGCTTGCACAGCTGTCTTTTCATACCGCTTCCTGCCGTGAGCACTGCCTGAGCCGTCTCCCGCATGTCGTACATCCTAAAAATCCGAAACTGCTACACCCCGAACGCCTAAAAACCCGAAGCCCCTCAAAACCCGAAACGGCCCTAAACCTGAGCACTAAAATGGATTTGCTCCAAGGTACGAGGCTCTGTGGGAGTCAGCACAGGCCAAGATGAACCCCATGAACACGGAGGAGGTCACTTGGGGACCAAACTGGATTCACTTTTCTTTGCTTTCCTCAGACTCAGACACCGGGTTCGTGGAATACTTCGATGGGTGTTACTTTTTGGTCTTCCTGCAGGTCACGCCGGCCTTCCGAGAGTCCATCTATCCCTGGAGACGGAGCAGATTGTGACCTTCCACCACTCGAATCATTCTTAGAAGACCCCCAAGCCACAGTCAAGATCGGCTACTACAGCATGGACCGTGCCCAAAGATGCCAGTCTGTCGGTGTGCCGAGTTGACGTCTTCGTCCGGTAATCTGGACCTCTCTAGGCTTGCACATTCGGCCGCCAGGAGTATCAAAGCTCATACAAGCATGTAAGATCACGCGGTCAGCTTCTACGGCCTCTCGAAAGATCGCATAGTACAACAATTCCTTGCTGAAGCGGTCGTTGTTTTCCGGAAAGCGGCTGAGAACCAACAGCTGCTTTTAGTGAGTTGTGGTCGGGACGACCGGGGGCTTGTGGAGCAAGTCTGCCGGAATAACGCCGAACCTGTAGCGGAGTTGGAGGCATTCTGGTTGGGACAGCCCTGTCATGCCTGACCTCACTTGCCGAGAGAAGCTTCTAAGTTGGTGAGCTGCTTTCGTCTGGCTTCTTCAGCGCTAGGCTCACCTTCTTCGCTACTGCCTGCAGCCAAGTTTCTGCCCTAAAGCCTAAATGGCCAAAAGCTCCTTGTCAGAGAGGTTTCTCAAAATGGCAGTACAAGTGCAGCAGTGCCAAAACGCGAAGGTATGTAGAATAATAGTAAGGTAGGTAAGGGCGACGAAGGCATGCGAATGCCAGCATCACTCTCAGTAAAACGTCGCATCTATGCACTGTTCACCCGCATATCTGGTATGACAGCAGCGGCAGTCGTTGCAATTGAACAGCAGCAATTGGCAGCTGTGCGGACAACAGCAACCACAATAAGCGCCGCAACGTTCAATAACTAGCGAACCACATCGAGACACCAGTAGCTGACAAGCAACAGCGCCAGTGGTGAGGCCACGCTTCTGCGGCCTCTACAGCCTGCAGTTTCCAAAGGACACCGATGGGGGCCTGTTGTGGCTGTTGGACTTACGGTCTAGCTGGAAGATTGTCGGGCCTGTAGGGTTTGCTGCAGGGTGTCTTTAGTTTGGGGCCTTCAACTCAAGTAGTTCACCAAGACTCTTAATTAACACATACATGAACACCGGGATCAGGCGATCAGGGGAGTCTATGGTTCAGGATTTGATATCCTGCCGTAGATATAGACAATGCATGCGGTAGCTTTCTTGGCGTCCATCGCAGGAGCCGAAGCCCGCGTACCTGGTCGTAATTCAGAACCCGTTCGCAGCAGGCCAGTGATGCGATAATTTGTACTTGGGTCCTGAGCTTTGCTGCTGCAGGCATCGCGGTGATTGTTGATGTATAAATCAGGACGTCTACGGTACCATGTATGGTACCATATATATCTTTGCATTCCATCCATCATCATCTAACACAAAATTATTGTGCTTGTGGTTTATATGATGTTGCCGGGACTATAAGGAGATGGTTGGGGTGCCAAGACCTTTGCCGAGACTGCACCTTGGGACCGAAGCTGGGCTTTCGGCTGCCGGGGCTGTTGCGGGGTATAAGAGCTTTCAACAGGCGTGAAGATGAAGGAGAAGTACGAAGTGAAGGTGGGTCCGGCGGGTTTGGGGTTTCGGGTTCTGCTGCAGCAAATTCGGGGATTTCCAACCCGTGCAGAAGTCGCTGAAAATTGCGGCTGAGCGCCATGATTTCCATGCAGTCCGTCTCAATTCCGCTGTGCAGGGTGTGCTCACCTCGGACCGATACGTCTCAAGGGAGGACCGTGAGAAGGGCGCGAGATTGCTCAAGGACCCTCTTCCGTGCCATGCTCCGACTTGTGTACCGCTGCTCTCCTGAGATCATCTGCTACTACGGCTAGTACTACGACGACGACGACAACAACAACAACTACTACTACTACGACGACGTCGACTACCACTGCTACTACCACTACGACGACGATGACTACTACTGCGACAACGACGACCACTACCACTACTACCACTCGCACTAGCACTGCCACTACCACTACCACGACGACGACGACGAAACCGACGACGACGACTACTGCTACTGGTACTACTTTGCCTCTACTTCTTCTTCTACTCTACGACTACTACTGCTACTACTACTGCTGCTGCTGCTGCTGCTGCTGCTGCTCCTGCTACTGCTACTGCTACTGCTGCTGCTACTGCTGCTACTGCTGCCACTACTGCTACTACTGCTACTGCTGCTGCTACTACTACCCCCACCGCGACGATGACGACTACTACTGCCACCACGACACTACGAATACCACTGCGATCACGCCTACCACCGCCAGTAGACCGTCTTCGACTCATCTTCTACACTGTCATCAGCATCAAACATCTGCATCTTCATCATCCTCATCATCGCGGTATGTCGCCATAACCTAAATTTTCCAAACCCTCAAGCCTGTGCCTTGCTTTCTCGCCACGAGTCGAGCCAGGACCGAAATCTGATTCAGCGGAGCCGCCTTCGCCTGGGACCGGTGTCTCCTTTACTCCACCGACAGCTGCAGGAGGCCTCCGCCTGCTGCTTGCCCTATAGGTGGTCCTTATATCAAGTAAACACAGGCTATTCTTGACCCCAGAACCCTTTACCAAGACCGCTGGGACATGGAGCAGCTGTTGATACTGTCGGCATTCTCGTGCTCGCAAATGTGTGTAGCTGCAAGGATCTAGGACTCTCTCTCTCTCGCGTCATCGACCTCATTGCCGGCAGCTGTGGTGTAGTTCCGCTGCAAACACCACTTGAGTATTGGTCTTGAACTGGCTCCTGTTCCATGACTCCTTGCGGTCCTTGCTGATGCTCCGTGTTTCCGTCCCTGCTCCCTCAGATGAGTCCCCGCAAGCTTCGTCAGATGTGCTGATATCCGCTGTGGCCGTCCTTAAGCCCAGCATCCCAGCTCCATGTCTTCTGCCGGGGGAGAAGGTTCACCATGGGGTCCACGGATCTTCGTACGACGTAGAGTTGCAGACTCTGTGGTCGAGACTTGACTGGTCCGCTGACAGGACGTCTCTTTCCTGGAAGCACGTGGGCGCGTCGAGTACTCTCTGCTGTGCTGCTGGCAGAAGTTGCAGTGACTTAGGGGCTCGGGCTCACTTTCGTTTTGGAATCGATAAGACTATAAGACTGTAAAGCAGGGAGTGTCGAGATGCCAACATGCCATGCTCAGCGGTGTTCCCACTCAGAGTTTCACAATGACTTTCCCGGAGTTTGCAGTCAAGCTCGCTTGCGTGGCAGTTTGGGCGTGGCTTCTTCCTCGGAGGCCGAGCAGGCCACCAGAATGATGTGGTGGAGTAAAACAATATGGCAGTGGTAGAACGATGTAGGGACTATATGGGGATACTATTCTATACAGGGCGTTTATGCCTGTACGAGGGCTCCGAAAATTCATGAGATTGTGTGGTCATCGCATGCGGCAGGTTCCGATGAATGATACCTGGAGCTGGGTTCGTCGTAGGAATGAGCATGTTTGATTCAAGTAAGTATATAAATCCACCAAGTGATAGTACTGTTATAGTACCATTACAATACTACTATAGTACCATTATTGTACCATTAGAACACTATACTATAGTACCACTATAGTACCATTCTAGTACTATGTGTGTTAAAGTGGGCACCAGCTCCGGCGAGGCAGCGGCCCTGACCGGCGGCCTCCGAACGGTGGACGTCCGGAGGCTTAGAGGTTTGTCTTGGAAGGCCTTAGGTAGGGGCATGCTTTAGGTGTGACTTGTTGGGGACTCGGGGTCATGCATGTTAGCACGAGTCTCTTTTTCATGATGTGCCTTGCGTCGTAGTTGTTGTCGTTATCTCATTCTTCTCCCTGTTCCGGCCACCACCACTCCTGCCGCATGAAATGAGGCTGACGACGCAGAGGGTGACGAGGTTGTGTTCATGGGCCTGGCAGAAATCTTTCAGGCACCAGGGTGCTTACCGCTGCCATCGCGTAGGCCCGTGCAGCATGTGCTGTAGACCTTGCTTTTTCTTGCACTCTGCCGACATGGACGAAACACAGAAACATGCACTGTCAATGGGCTTGTCGTCTTGTCATGTTTTCCTTAGCTGCGGTGATTTCTATTAGCATGATTGTCCAGTAGCAAGATGATGGTGATGGTGTTATCATTGCTGTCATGTCCAATCAGTCGATTGCGTCGCGAAATGACAGTCAGAAGTATGGCTACCCAGAGCATCGTCAACCATGATTATTCTCTCGTTGTTCTTTCGTTTCTGCTTGCTTGTTTTCTTGTCCGTATGGTTCTCATAAGATGATTACCTGTTGTTGCACTCGACGCTTTCTTCCAGGAGTATGCGATTGGTCGGCCAGCCACCAGGCTTGCTCTGCCCTTCTTTTCGCAATGTTCGAAGTCGGGTCCGTGGTTTGAGGGTCCATCAACATCGAGTTCGAGATGTAGCAGAGTGTTGCGGTCTCAGTCGCAGTAATGATCACATCACCGTTGCTGCAAGGTCAATGGCTGGCGAAATGGGCTCGGCATCGCTCAAGCCTGCCCTCTACGTCGGCATCCCGGGAGTCATGGGCAGGGCTCAGGTTGCAGAGCGCGGGGGGGCAGGAGAACCTCAAGCCGTAATATCACTTTTCTCGTCTCTAGTCACCCACCGGGCCCCAGGAACCCGAAACGCGACCCGCAATCCGCGACCCGGACCCATGACCCATGACCGACCGGAACCGGGAACGGAACCAGAACCGAACCGGAACCCGCGACCCCGGAGCCCGAACAGGAGCCCGGGCCCCCTTTTCGTGCAAGAAAAAAGCCTCAAAGCGGTGATGCGGTAGGCGTATCGCCGGTTTTCCGACAAGAACTGGAAGCTCCGGGCACATGGCCACATCTCACACCATCGATGGAGCGAGGGCTGCGCGCATTTGTCGCAATACTTGCTGGTTGCCAGAGCTTTTCCCAGCTGTTTCGTGTCCGAGATCGTTGGGTGGACGTTCAGCTGAAGGGGGGGTAGAGCCAAGGCCAGGCGCTTCCTGCACTTTCTGGCGCAGCGGATTCTCTGAAGCAGGTCCGCTTCCAACTGGCGTGTATGTCTTAGACTCTTAGACAGACAGAGTCGTTCAAGTTTAAGCTTGTCGTGTCGGGACTTCATAGTTTTCGGCTTGGGGCGAGTTGAGTGCTTCGGCCATTGAGGTGCTAAAGCCTTGAGAGCCTGAAGCGGTCCAGGCCAGACTTCAGAGGTTCAGGGCCATGGGCGAAACACGATGACGCCAACAAAGCCTCAGCGACTCACCCAGTCCCGGAAGTTGCAGCCAACGTGACGATGCAGACAGCCTTGATGATCTCTTACCCTGAGGATAGCAGCGGCTTGCCAGTCGTGATATACTTCTACATAGTTGCTGTACATTGTTGGCGATGCATGAGCCGGTCCTGGTGGTAGTGGTGCTACCACTTCTGCTACGCATACTGTATTGCTGCCGTTGCTACTCTTCCTCCTGCCTCTGATGTCGCTCCTCCTCATCCGCATCCTCCTTCCCCCTCCCCCTCCTCCTCCTCCTCCTCCTACTCCTACTCCTACTTCAACTTCTGCGCCTACTTTTAAGCGTTACTTCTACTGCTGCTTCTGCTGCTGCTGCTGCTGCTGCTGCTGCTGCTGCTGCTGCTGCAACAACCACTACCGCTACCTCTATCTCTATACGGCTCCTGTTCCCGCTCCTGCTCCTGCTGCTACTGCTGGTGCTACTGCTACTGTCTCTGCTAGCCGCCTTGTCGTTCCCATGATGAGGAATTTGGGTCTCGGTGAGGGACTGACCATAATTATAGAACTATGCCAAAGTCTTCGGTTCAGGGCTTAACATCCTGCGAGGTGTATCCCAGGAGGAGAAGTCTTTGACAGTACTACCGACAACACGAACAAACCCACCCAACCACCGACCCAAATCAACCAACCAGCCAAAAACCCACCGAGGTTCCCACCCACGAACGAAGGAGCGTGCGAGCGAAATCAATATTTAAGACACGATACTCAACTACTGTAGATAACTAACAAACTAGGGACGAGCCAGCCGGCCAGCCAGCCAGCCCGAATCATGCAGAACGAGTTTAAGCAGAAAGATGGAGAGAAAGAGAGAGAGAGAGAGAGAGTCCCCTAGCCCACAGCCCTAACGAAAGAAAGAGAGAGAGAGAGAGAGCCTGACCTCGAAGCCCGCGCTTTTCGAACGTTCTCTCCAGTATAGCCGAGCCTCTCGGGGAAAATCCCCTTGGGGAACCGTGAGACACCCATGAACCGCGGGTGCGCGCTCGCGCGCGGGGGGTCGGGACAGGACGCTTCCCGGCTCCTCTGTCCCTGGAGAGANNGCCATTTTGGCTCAAGCCGCGAGTGCTCAAGCTCCGAGCCAAAGTAACTTGACCGAGAGGAGGGAGGACCTCCAAACCAGCCGCTGAGAGAGGAGAGAGTTTGTGCCAGAGATCTCGCCATCCCGAGCACAAGGGGGAGTTTGCTGTTCTACTTGTCTTCGCCGCGAGGGTTGAGCAGAGCGACATAGTCGAGTTTGGACACGCAGGGCAAGTGGCGGCCTATTTCCTCAACCAGGGGGACACTGTGCACGGCTACCTGACCGGCAAGGGCACGCGTCGAATCTCCTGCGCACCGAGGGGGAGACGAGATGACAGATCGTGGCGAGAGCAGCAACCGCAGCCCGACGTCTGAGTTTGCCAGCGCAAACGGCGAGAGCGGCAACCCGCCACAAACATCACCGAAGCGAGCAAGAGAGGACACGGAGATTGCCGGAGGCGCCGGCGGGGAAGGATCGACGGGGGACCAGCCCCTCACTTTGGCATTGCTTCAGCAAGCTCTCCAGGTCTCGCAGCAGCAGATCACCAACACGATCCATGCGTCGTTGGAGGGGACTTTGTCAACCATTAACACCCGAGTGGCGCAGGTGGAGGCTAACATGGAGGAGCACGTAAAGCGAACCACGAACCTCCTGGACGCGATGACGGACCGGCACTGCCACATTGAGGGGACAGTCAAACAGTCTACAGACGCAGTGGATGATGTACGCCGTCGTTTGGAGCTTTTGGAGGGCAAGTTCGCAGCCGCCTCTTTCGCAGCCTCAAGTACCAGAACAACAGACGGGGGAGGCGACGGGGGACAGCGACCTGCCATCGTCGCAGGCGGGTGGGACGCAGACCAGGACGCCGAGACCACCCTCAAGCTTGTTAAGGAGCACATTGAGCGCCTCCAGGTCGATCTGGACCTTCAAGAAGCATTTGTACCAGGCCTGCGTCGAGGATTCGCCATCTTGCCCGTCAACCCTAGAGAGGGGGAAGGACAGGAGCCATTCCGTAACAGAGTCCGCATGGCACTCAAGCAAATCAGAGAAGCTCGCATCGTGACGGGGGACAGACCTGAAGGTGGCCATCGCTATTTCTGGGCAGCCATGAGCGAGAGCCCGGAACGCCGAAAGAGAGCACAATTCTCCGGCAAGGTCAAGAGGCTCATCCTGGGAAGTCAGGGGGACCGACGTCTCGTCCAGGTTGAGTTCGGCACCGGAAATGTCTGGTACGATGGAGCGAAAATCGCGTCAGCTGTCACCTCCACCCCACCTGGAGGCGAGATGGCAGGTGTCGGCTGGATCAACCTGCCGAGTCTGGCCCGGCAGCTGGGCACATCCCTGACCGAGCTCACCGACCGACGGGGGGAGCTCCGCAAACCTCTTCAGTGACGCAAAGAGCACACGTTTCACACAGAGGCCCAGGACACCGACCTCTGGGGAGTGCATGTTCTCACGTGGAATGTTGGGGGACTCACTATTGAGAAGAGCCTACAGCTTCTACGTGACCTTCGAAAAGAACGAATTCATCCTTTTGATTCTGCCTTTATCCTATGTCTCCAAGAGATCATCATGGAACAAGGCAAAGCTGTTCAAGAACAAGGCGACCTCCAATGCATTTGTGGAAAGCAGGAAACAGACTGGCGCGGGACGGGCATTGTGCACACCTCACAGTTCAAGCGCAGCCGGAACAAGCTCCTGCGAAGTGGCTACAGCAGCTGCTTGACCATGGGGGAGCTCCGCGTTACGGTGGTGTCGGGGCATATGCCGCATCATGCTACGATGGCAGAAGCTGATGAGATAGCTACGTCGTGGCTACAACAGCTCCGACCAGCACCGAAGGCAGTCCTCGGCATGGATGCGAACGAGACTTTCAGCCTGGGTATCTCTGGCAAAACCATCACGCACTCCGGCCGGGGGGAACAGCTCCTGGCTGCTCTGGGTGCAGCAGACCTACGGACACCACCTCAACAGCTGGAGAAGCCGTCCTTCTTCCCGTACAACACGACCATGCGACCGCGCCGGCTCGACTACATTGTTCTCAAACACCTCCTTTGCCAAGATGGGAAGGTACTCTCGTTGAGGGATGTGGCGAGCTCCGACCATGAACCCATCCACGTGCCCTTGCAACAGCCAACACCACCGGCACCAAAGCAGGATGCCAAACCATGGGGGAGCAGACGCTTGCAAGACTGGCAGATAGTTGAACAAGCAATCGCTGCACGACCTCCACGATCGGGGGACATGGTACAGGAGATCACCAACATGGCCGTGACCATCACCAGGCCCGGCAGGGCTCTTGCCAAGTTTGTGGAAAGCAAGGAGCTTCGCCGCAATCGACGTGATGCTTTATTGCAAGAACCAGGACCCTCCCGCAAAGCAGCTTGGAAGGCAGTTCAGAAACAACGCCGAGAGGAGCATAGAACCTGGAGAGTACAGCAACTCGACCTGGCGGGCCAGAAATGGTGGAAAGCCAAGGAGGCCGTCGACCGGAGTGACCATGATAGCTCTTGGGAACTCCGCCTCCGCGCCGACGAGCGATGGCGAGAGACGCTCAAGTTAGGCACATTTTGGGGGGATCTTCAACAAATCCGATGCCAACCAAGTGGCAGACAAACTCCGCTGCATTGATCAACGCCTCCGCCGAAGATGCAAAGACAAACCCTGGGAACCTTTTACAGCCAAGGAACTCCACGAAGTCAGAAAACGATGGTCGGGAGGAAAGGCCTGCGGCCCCGATAGTGTGTCACATGAGGCGCTGCGAATTCTCGAGCATGATGACAAGTGGCGGGGGACTCTGTTGTATGTGCTCAACGACATGCTCTATACGGCTGCAATCCCCCCGAATGTCGTTCGGGGGATCACCGTCCTCCTCGCGAAGACGGGGAACCCCGATGATTGGAGTGACACCAGGCCGATAACACTAAGCTCGGCGCTACTGAAGACCTTTTCCCAGCTACTCATTGGCCGGGTTTCACATTTGGTGCAACAACCATCTCGTCTCCAGTGGGCACGCCGGTCACGTCAAGGCGTGGAACTCATATTGATACTGCGCCGGGTCTGCCGGGTTGCCAGGGACTGGGGGATTCCCATGTACATTGCCAAACTCGATATACGCAAGGCCTTCGACTCGATCTATCAAGAGGCCCTTGCAGAACAGATCGAGTCAGATGTGGGGATTGCGGGGGACCGGCCATGGGAGGCGCGAGCATGGACACACCTCATCCATGCAGACGAAATCAATGTCTATTTTCGTGGAGAAGAATTCCGCATCCCGCAAACAAATGGGGTGCGACAAGGGGCCCCTGATAGCCCCATTGCCTTCGGCAGAGTGCTTGCCGTTGAACTTGAACGTGCGGTACAACAAGCGGAAGGCCACAGACCCCGACAAGGTGATCCTCCCCCAGAATTTGCCGGAGCCTTCATGGACGACAGCTATATCTGGTCCACCAAGAAGGACCACCTGCAGGCCATGCTCACACGGCTGGGGACAAATCTGCCGCCGAAAGGGCTCGACATCCACCCCCTCAAGACCGAGATCATCGATAATCAGGAAGGTGGAGTGGAGTTCGAAGTCGGGGGACGAAAAGTTCTCAGCAAAGGACCGGACCATGTTATACGAACCTTGGGCAGCCCCGTGAGCTTCTCGAGCCACCCCAGCACGATCATTGCAGAGATGCAGGCGAGAGGGAGACATGCTTTCCGAAAACATCGGGGGACACTTCTCTCCAATGCCCCCTTGAAAAGCCGACTGCAGATGAGTACCATATTAGTCAGGCAGTCAGCATTGTGGGCTTGCCAAACTTGGCCCTGCAACGACACAGTACTGCGAGCGGCGAACAGCTTACAACTGGTACAAGCCAGGAACATGCTCAAGCTCTCCCGCCAACCCGGGGAACTTTGGGCCGATTGGCATGTGCGAAGTATGCGACGAGCTCGGCTAGCGCTCTTCCATGCCAAAGTACCACGATGGAGCAGCTTTATATTGCAACAGATCTGGGGCCTGGCAGGACATGTCGTCCGGGGGGACCCAGTCGCTGCCGCTATGCTCCGATGGCGAAACTTGGAGTGGTGGCGCATCGAGCAGAGTATCCCCCCCAGCTGGGGGGGACAGAGACATGCCCGACGTTTCAATCCCCACTTGGACGTTGAGCGCCAGATCGTCGCTGTGGCGGGGGACCGATGGCATGAAAAAGCCCTGGACCGCATTGAATGGTCCAACCTCGAGGAACTCTTCGTGGAGAAGTTCGATATCCCGTGGGCCAGCGGGGACCAGGCACAACTCCAGGACCTCAACTTGGCACCCAACTTTTCCCATGCAGGTGATCCCGTGGGAGAGAGACGCCCAATGCTCAAAGGCCCCTCACGTAGGGGGACAGCCAGACGCCAGAGACGGCGGGGACCACAGTGACGCAGCGCAGATTGTGCAGCTGAGGGAAGGTGCTTTCCGTTGAACCCAGCTACTTCAAAGACCAGGGGGGAGCCAAAAGTACCGCAGTGTCGACGGAAGCGAGCGAGAGCAGTCATGGTTTTCTCCCCGCCTCTGCTTTGCCCTAAACTGAACTTTCTGAACCTCCTCTCCCTCCCCGGCCCGAGTGTGCAGCAGCGGTTCGCGACAAGTCTCTGCCCATGCTGTACATGCAGACCGATCCATGCAGAGGTGCACATGACACATGCCACGATCCTAGGCGTGCTCTATGTGCCGAATGTGAGAAGACTGGGGGCTTTGGGCACTGTACAAGCTGCAGGACATTGCCGGCCTCGGTGTCTTGGCTCAACATCTGGCTCTGATCCTCTTGCACATGATGAACATGTACACGTTCGCAACAAACATGTGACTTTACCGGGAACATGTTCTTATCCTTGCACATCATGAACCTCGTATGACGATGTCTACCGGTACATTTGGAATGCATCGACTTTTTGCTAAACAACTTGTACCCATGGTCGGCCCCTTGAATTTTCCTTGATGGCACTGGACTTCTGTCGCAGACTCGCCTTGCAGAAACAGGAGAACCCGCGCAGACAAGCCGAATCCTTCTCGTAAATCCGCGAGAGAGATGTCTCCGACACTGCAGATCGTGAAGCTGGTGGTGCTCTTGGCGGCACGCCCTGGCACCTGTATGCACCCGCGGCAAGCAGCTACAAACAACCCCGCGCAGCAGCCTCCGACTCAACCAAACACCCGGTGAAGCAGTGCAAGCAGCGACTTGGACGCAACAGCATACTGGGGGAACACCACTGCCAGCCACCGGACCGCAGCAGCCGGGACACAACGTGCCCGTGCAGCCAACCCCGCCGCAACAACCGGGGGACACAAGCACAATACGCACAGACTACCCAGAAGGACCCGAGCTTGCAACAGCCGCCACCGCACTCCCTCTCACCTGCTGCCAATGCCAACCAATGGGGTACCATGCAGCCTACACCTTGGCTACCCCCTTGATTGAGTACCAACGGCCCGCAGGGGGGACATGTGGCCCTCCCCCCGACTCAGTTCGCATGGACGGCTCACCCGAGTGCACATGGAGGGACGGTGACAAGTTGGGGTGATACATTGACCCCCCAAACACAGCAAGCACTCGGGGGATGGCAACCTGCCATGCCTCCTCAGAACCTCCAACTCCATTACACCCAGCCTGGGGGGCAAGCCATGCCACAGGCACTACAACCACCCCCGTACCCACAGGGACCGGCGCACCAGCCCCCCCCGACAGGAGGACACACGGCGCGTACTCTCCCGCCACCCCACACCTGGAGTCAGCCCACGCAGCAGCAGCCGCAGCAGAGGACAGTGCCGCCGCAGAACCAGCCCCCCACAGGACCCTCTTTCCCAACCCAGCAAGCTCAAGCGGCCTCCAGAAGCCCCGCAACAGCAGCCCAGGGGTATGGCCCCCATGCAGTCCGTTTCCCACCAGCATACGATCCAGACACAGACGCATGGCACTCGCCAGAACCCACGCCACCCCAGAGCCCAAGAAATGCCAGGGTTACGCCGGTCTGTGATGTCCCCCCCCAGACATACATCCCACCGCCGTGGGAAGTCCCTCTGAACCCCACTGCAGCTGCCAGCAGTACCGACCCCCCACCCCTCGCACACCCGGCGACACCAACCTCGACCAGGCAGCAGCCAACAGGGCAAGGTGAGACACAAGCCTGGCAGCCTTGCCCCAGCAGCAGCAGCAGCCGGTACCAGAAGAACCCATTTTCGCATCTTCATCAGCAAACTCTGCAGTCCATCCTGCAGGCAAACCGGTCTCTTACGGACCGCCGACACCCGCCGATGCCAATGAGGCCCCTCCTGCGAAGCCCTCGGGCCAACCACGTCCGCAAACCTACGAGGAAGCCGCCGCAACTCTTTCCCACCAGCCAGCAGCAGGGGAGTCTGCGAACCCCCAGAGCCAACCGCCAAACCCCGCCGATGAAGCCCAAGGCGGGGACCACAGCCAGCAACAGCAAGAAGAGACAGACCCAACTGAACCGCCGCAATGGGGGGACGCAGACTGGGGGACATCCAGAGCCTATCAAAGAGCGAAACCCCCCCAATCCTCGCGCAGAGGAGAGCCCAGTGCGGGGCATGGCTCGCAAAGGGTCATGAACAAAGCCCGCAAGTACATCTACAAGCAGCAGAACAAAGCTGGTAACTATCAGCGACGCCCGCCTCCTCAGAACCAACAGGGCCCGGGTTGGGGGATCCTCTATGCCCCGCAGAATGTGGCACCGGAGGAGGAGGACACCCAGACAGCCACAGCAGCAGCTGCCACCCCGGAACCGGCCCGGGGTACAAAGGCAGACACCCACAATCAGCAGAGACAAGCAAGGACAGCCAATGAGTTTGCCGACCTCCTCAACAGACACCTCTTGCCAAGAGGGACCATTGGGCCCAACACGGGCGGACAACCCGATGGCACCCCCGACCAGGCGGCAGACAACCAACACACGCAAGCACAACCGAGAGCGACGACCTCTACCCCCACAGACGACAGACCGACAGCAAGTGCCACTACATCCTCTCCCCACACCGACCCCCACCCTGCAGATCCAGCCAGAGCCACAGCCACAGCACCCCCCACACGTGACAGTGACGCACGGCCTGAACGAGCAGACCAGGGCACAGCAACAGACAAAAGCATCGCACCAACACCCGAAACAGCCGGGGCGCACCGACACCAGCCAGCAGCGAGCGGGACAGTAAGTCCACAGCAGCACAGCAGAGGCGAAGCACCAGCAGCGACCAGCCAACCAGCCTGCGGGGACCCCAACGACCTCGCACCTCTGAGCGCTGTCGAACAAGAAGTTTATGAATGGTGCACTCAAGGGGGACACTCGCCAGAGACACTAGCCGCCATCGATAGCCTCCCCCCGGATGCCCCCCTCTCCGGAGCAACACAAGGCGAACTCATCCAGCTTACACACGGATGCTGGCAACTGACAGTGCAGCCCTCGCCCGGGGGGACCCCTCCAGCAGGACGATTCAGAGCAGTGATGCCAGGGGAACAGGGGACGGCAACCACAGCACCATACCTCACGTGTGGACTGGTGGGAACATTCGCCCCACTCTCCCAAGACCACTGGGTCTTCCTGGTCACACAAGCACCGGGGCCGCTCTACCACGAGCATGGAGCCATGCTGCTCCAGGAGGGGGATAAACTCCTCTTCGAGCACACGGAGGAGAATGGCTGGATGATCCGAATGGAGAGCCACGGCCACAGCCAGGATCCCATTGTGAACAAGGCCCGCCGATTGAGGGAAGCGGTGCTAGCAAAACACGGCCCCCGCCCTGGAGCAAACGAACCAGGGAGCACAGCAGCAGCCAGCGGCAGCAATACAGCACCCAGCGAACCCAAGCCGTCAGCAGCCCCGCGCTCCACAGCCGCGACAGCAGCCTCCGAGAACACGAGGGGAACAGCCAGACCCTCAGCACAAACACCTTCGGAGCCGCAGCAGTCCACAGCGGAAACCTCGCCCACGGCTAACCCCAGCAGCACGGGGGAGAGCGAGGGGACATGGCAAGTCGTTGACCCACCATCGAATGACCAGCCTTCAACAGCCCAGTCCTCCCACGAACCTGCGGTGAGCTACTACCCAGAAGCCACTGCCACACCAGACCGACCCCCCGCGGCTACCCCCCTCGCGCAGATGCTGCGAGACGGAAGGCAGAACAGCGACAACAGACAGCAGCAGCAGCGCCCTGTTCTTGCCCCCCACGACGATTGGCGACGATTGGGGAGAGCCGCCCACCACCACTACCACGTCCACTACCACTACCAATATGATCAACCCCGAACAAGCCGAACACCTGGACACACTCGAGCAGGACGACACCGTCCTGATGCAAAACAACCCCCTCCACAGAGTGTCACGGGAGCCGATACCCAGCACCATCGACAACGCCGACACAACCCTCACACAGCCCGCAGCCAGCACAGCCACAACAGTAGTGGAACCACGAGCCACTAACAGCCAAGCAGGGGCGGAACGCATTCGTTCATGGCAGCGTGTGGAACAGTGCCTCGTCGAAATCTGCAGACTGGCAAGGGAGACTGATGTCCCCAATAGCAGGGGGATCCAAGCGCAGGCGGAACACGCCCTGCTGAATCTGCTCGTCGACACGCAGACGGCCGAGGAACTGAGCGCAGAATCCCCCCCCCAGGGGGGGAACAGCAGCTACCAGAAATCGCAGTAACAGCAGCAGCAGCAGTACAAGGGCTCCGACACTTGCGTAGCATCGCCATGGCGTCCCGCGACAACCCCAACGTCGACCTCTCCTATGCCCATATTGCACCACATGTGGGCGTTGTGGTCACGTGGCTGAATACGATGGCAGCGGGGGACGTTCGCATACACGCCCAGTTGCCTCCCCTCCTCACGCCACTTCGGGAAATACTCAGCATGATCCTGGAGGGGACCGTGACGAGCCCGGCGTGGAATAGCTTAGTCTCTGTCACGGAAGCACTGGAGAGGGTGATATCTCCCTGCGCGATACAACTCAGCGGGGAATGTGCCCAGTCCAGCGGGGACAGAGCCCAGCTGTCAGCCGAACAGGTGAACTCTTCCAGCGCCGGGGGACAGGGAGCAGCATGGTCAGACGACCTGGACACACTGCGGGGACTACTCCGACAGGCTGAGACGTGGCCATTGGATGCACTGCAAATGTTCCAAGACCTGGCTATGCAGCTGGTTCGGGGGATCGCACGCCGAACCCCCCCTGAAGACAGGGGGCAGCCCACGAGAAGCACATTGTGGGATACGCACTGGTGGGAAAGTGAGCGCCATCATGGCCTGGGGGACGCGGGCCGCTCTTCGCTCGCCGCTTCACCGCGGGGACCCGGTGTAAGACGGCCGAGATCCAGCTCCTCCCACAGATCCTCCTCGGCAAGCCACCGGCGCCGCCGCCTTCATGCAGCGCACGCGGGGGAGTGAGATCGCACAACGACGCCAATGTGAATAGTGAGAGGGGGATGAGTATACAACCCGGGGGATCTTCCTCTGCGACCTGCCGCTTTGCCACTTTAGTGTGACTTGTTGTCTACGTCTCGAGACTTGGTGTCCCGAAGAGTGAAGACCCCTGGGGAAAGTACCGTAACACAGTGTCAGAGAGAAAGCTGCAGCCCAGGGGAACCCGTTTTCAGCTCGACTTGTTGGGAACAGTCTTTGCAGTTTAGCTCCGTGTTACCTGTACACGCCTGGGCCTCAGCGAAGCCGTAGTTTCTGCGATGGGGAGCCAAAGCCGGGAACTCTCTCGGAACCTCAAAACCGATGGTTGCCGACGTACAATGAGGACCTCCGGGGAACGGACCTTCACTACTTATGGCAAGCCTTTTTTGTTTGTTTTGTCTAAGGGGGGAATGTAACCCCTGAAAAAAGTTGCCCGGGCCTCAGTTTCTTCGGCTTCCAGTAGTGTCGACTGATTGCTCTTCGGGGGGGGACTTCGCTTCTTCTCTTTCAGGTTCGCTTTGGGGTGACTTATACCTGTTATCACCTTTTGCAGTTTCCTGCCGAAGAGCTGAATGGTGTCCCTAGCATGACTTTTCAAAGCTGGTGGCAGGGGGAACCACTTGTAGAGGTTTTGGACTTCTTGGTCATGTTTTCTGTGTTAGGAAAACTCCTGCCACACACAGAGACTTTTCGCTGTCGCGGGGAATCACAACTGCTTGTTAACCACCCTTTAGCTTTGCAAATTTTTATGCACTGGACCGTTGTTTCGTACTGCTGTGATCCCGGAAAAGCCGATTCCCAACGCAGACAGGGTCTGATCGTGCAAAAGGGGGGGAACCTACTTGAGAACAGCCCTCCGCGCATGTGACTTCCTTATACTGGTTGCAACCGTGTTTGATCGTATCTGTTGTTTTGTGAAGAAGGAGGGGGACTGTCGGAGATGCAGTAGGTACGTACAGCAATCTCCCCCTTGGTACGTAACCTGGTACGTGTAGTTCTCCCCGAAAGCCCCGGAAACTGGGGGGCCCTATGGGCCGGGGGGCCTGAC